TGTGTGTGTGTGTGTGTGAGTGCGTGTGCGCGCGCGCCAACTTGAGCTGTAGGTAAACGGATCAGAGCGCCACAACATTTCCAAGGCCAGCGACAGCTGGTGAGCACCCGCGCCCGCCCCGGCGACGCCAGCAGACCCTCCCCGGGCCTGGCCCCCACGCCACGCGCACCTGCAGCTGCTGCGCGCCGCGCTGCGCGGCGGCCAGCGCTGTGTCGCGTGCGGCGACCTCCTCCTCCTGCCGCACCAGGATGGCCTGCTTGCGCTTGAGCTTGTCGCGCGACAGGCGCAGGTCGCTCTGCAAAGGTGGCAGCAACGCACAGCGTTAGTGTGTGGTCAGGCGCATGTGTGTGTGTTGTGTACGTGTGTGTGTGTGTCTCGTGTGTGGGCCCGTTCGCATGAGGGGTCAACACGTGTTTGACAGTGAGGCAGTTGCGTCAACCTGCAAAACAAACGAGTCTGGACGGCTGAAATCAAACCAGGCCGGCGGCTACGCCGGTTTCTGTGTACGTTAAACAACCCCACACAGGTCAGCCTACAAGAGGCCTTTACAACGCATTGTCCGCGAACGCCTGCGAACCCGCGCGGCGCGCCTCGCGTGGCCGCACCCTCTCTCCTCAGCAGCACACCTGCAGCTTCTCGATGATCTGGTTGCCCTTGAGCACCTCCGCGGCAGACTCCTTCAGCCGCTGGGGCGCGGCAACGACGCGAGCAGGCGCCATGGCCTTGAGAGAAGCGCCGCAAGAGCGGCGCCCACACGCCACGTTCTGGGCCGCGGCTGCACCAAGATGCGAGCAGCCGGTTGCAGCCGCCTGATCCACGCGCACTGCCCTGCATTTTTCAGCTCAGACAGGCGCACCGCCCGCCGTCATGCCATGAGGGATGCGGCCCTGACTCCGTTCACCAGCCCCGCGCCCCTCCCCGCACCTGCTCGTGCGCTGCCAGTGCATCCCGCAGCTCCCCGCACCGCTCCTCCCACTGCCGCGCCGCCGCCTCCAGGTCACTGAGGCGCGCCTGCTGCTGCGCCGCCAGCTGCGCCTGCGCCTGGGACTGAGGGGCCGGGCAAGCGAGGCGAGGGCCGGGGCCAAGGTCGGCGCTGGCCCTTGGACACTGTCCCCGGCAATGTGCTTGTACATATACTCACACACACATGCACAAGCACACACACGCACCTCACAACATCATTCACACATGCATGCACACAAAGACGTTCGCTTGTGCATGCGTATACACATATAAACAACATTCAAGATTTCATGCACAAGCCCACACAAACACCGATCTTTGCGCACTCCCCTCACACATACATACACATGTACAGACACACGCGCGCACACACACACACACGCGCACACACACACACACACACACACACAGAGTTGTCAACAGCCCCTAGGGCCTGCTCGCCACGCCACGGCCCGCACCTTTTCCTCCAAGGCCGCTAGCTTGGCGCGCGCGTCCGCAAGCTGTATGTCCGCCTCATGGCGCCCCGCGGCCGCCGCCTTGCCGGCCGCCCGCAGGCCTTCGACCTCCGCCTCCAGGGACCGCGCCGACCCCTGGGCGCTGCCCAACTTGTGGCTCAGCTCGGAGACCTGCGCCAAGAGGGCAGCGCGGGCGGGGAGCGGCGCCAAGGGGGCGGCGTGGGCAGGAGTTGGCGCCAAGCGCTGCGTGGGGCGCGGGTGCTGCGAGGCCACACGCGTTTGGCGGGCGGCGGCGGTCTGAGGCGGCCGCCGCGCGGAGAGCTGCCAGGCTGGGGCTTGTGTCCAGGCGGCTCCACGCCTTACCTGCAGCCACCCAGCCCCCTCGACACCCTACATCGCAACTCCGAGCGCCGCTGCAAAACCAAACGCCTGCCAGACCATATGCCTCTTCCCAGACCAACACAGATCTGACCACATCAGATCACGAGAGGAGGAGATCGCTTCGACTCAGATCACGCGACGCACCTGCGCATCCAGAGCGTATTTGGCGTCCCGAAGCTTTCTGTTGTTGGCGTCCAGCTCAGCCACGCGCGCGCTCAGCGCCGCCGCCGCCTCGGAGCCGCGGCGCTCCGCATCCTCCACCTCCCTGGGGGGTGCGAGTCAGCCGGGGAGCCGGGTGGTTTGGCGGACGGCGGATGAGATGCGCCGCATGTAGCGCGAGCCGGGGCGCGGCTTCACACCTTGTCACGTCCCCTGGTGTGCGCTCCGCTGAGGCTTTGACTGCGACATGGGCACGCTGTCCAGCCCAATTCCGCTCGCACACGCGGCTCTCCTCGTCCTGCGCAATTACAGCTGCCTCCCGGCCAACCCCAGTCAAGACAGCAGCAGCAGCAGCAGCGCCTCCAGCGGGCCCCTAGCCGGCCCACCTCTCCAGCTGCTCTCTGAGCTGCGCCTTCTCCCGCAGCCGCTCCTCGTGCGCCGCCGCCGCCTGCTCCCGCAGCTGGCTCTCGAGCTGCAGCGTCTGCCGCGCATGCTTCTGCTGCAGCGCTGACAGCTGCTGCTGCGCATCCCCCAGGGACGCGCGCGCGCCCTCGCGCTCCGCCTGACCGGGGGCGAGGGGCATGGGCAAGGGGGCGTCGGGGCGTACACATTGCAGGCCCGGGCGTGCGCTGGCCGGGCCCGCTGCCGCAGCGGCAGGCGGCGCGCCGTCTGGACCCTCTCAAACACGGTCAGGCCAGTCAGGCACATGCGAGGACGGTGCTTGCACGCCTTCGACGGCTGAGGCAACTGGCGCTCCTGCCACTCCTGCCACCCCGCCCCTCGCTGGCCGCCCGGCCCCGGCACCTGTGCCCACCCCCGCCCGCAGCCCTGGCCCTTCTGCCCCCTCACCTTCGTCTTTGCCAGCTCCTCTGTCAGCTGCGAGTTGTCGCCGCGCACCTCACCCAGCCGGAAGGCCAGGAACTGGGGCGGCAGGAGGCAGGGCAGGGGAAAGGCAAAGCTCCACAGGGCACGCACTGAACGAGGTGTACGCTGCACAGGGCGCATGCTGCTGCACAGGTGCAGCCCAGCTGCGCGCTCCCGGACGAAGCGCTCCTTTGCCCTTTTCGTTGGCTGTTCACGTGCCGATCAACCGGCCCGGCGCCGCCAGCGCTGCCGCCGTCACCGCCCCTCCCGTCCATGATGCAGCCCCCTGATTGCAATCGCCAAAGCAAGAATGAGTGTGTTTCTCATATCACAAGACCCCACCTGCTTGACGGCGGTGTCGTTGCCGGGCCTGAATGTCAGCGTGATGTGTGGCAGCTGCTTGAAGTCGTTCGTCTCCACCACCTTGAACACGCTGTCTCCGCCCCTGGCAGACAGGACAGCCTGCGACATTTGGGCAATCGAGTGAAGAGTCAACTAGTTTCTCCATGTTTGTTAGATGTGCAGCTGTGTCATGCACGCAAAAGGGCGGCGGCGCTTGACCGGCGTGACGGGGACTTTGACCAGCCGCCAGCCCAACGGCGCCTCTCGCGGCCTGCCCTGCAGCGGGCCCAGCCGCTGACTGGGGAGGTCGCGTCCCGCACCCACGGCGTGTGCTGCTCGTAGCACACCTGGAACCGGGGCATGTCTGACGACTGCGACGCGAGGCAGCGCTCCAGCAAAGATATGATCTTGCCAGGGAAGTTGCCGAAATCGACAAGGATGCCCTGGTCTGCCTTGAGTCCTTGGAAGTCCTCCTCACTGACCTCGAGGGTGTGCAGAAAGAAGGGGTCATCCTCGCTGGATGCGTGGATGCGCAGCACCTGTGGCGCGGGTCGACGAGGGGTGTGTGTGCAGTGCACCAGCAGCAGCGCGCGCGGGACTGCACATACGGGCGGGCGCGCCACGGCGGACGGGCACCACGAGGGCTTGCTGCTCACTCTTAAATTGTGGTTTTGCCGCGTCACGCCCGATAGGATGCGGAAAGTCAGCTGCTCGACCTGGTCTTCCCTGTCGTGCTGCTTCAGTAACACTGGGATCGCCTTCCAATAGAGCGTGCTGGCCGTTTGGAGATCGAATCCTGTCAGCACCCTCGTGTCATCCTCCTTCAGGGGCGGCATGGCCGGCCCAGCGCGCGTTGTTGCTCGCGGGCGAAAGCTGCGGGCAGCACACCTGTCACTATGTGCTGGAGGATATATGTCAAATTGAGGCGCCAATATTTCATGCCGCAAAGCCCGCTACCTGCAATCCATCACAGAACCAGCGGGCGTCACTCTGCGACGTGCGCACCGCCGTTCAAGCCTGGTTCAAGCGGCTGCGTGTATGCCAGGTGTACGCTCTGGCCGAAGACCCCTGTTCACGATCATGAGCACTTACCGTTGGAATGACCTTGAGAAACCGGCTGCTTGGCTGCTGTCACCGTATGAGGCCATTGACAGGCTGCCGGCACCCATCACAAACAGCACCGTGCTTGTCAGCTTGGCATGCCAAGGCATGCGCCGTTCAAGGGGCCCACCATTTTAGTTCATCAGCTCCAGCTTACAGCACGCAATCAGGCACCTGCCATGAAAAATACATGCAACAATCCTGTTGTGTATACTCCTCAGTAAAAACAAATTGGTAAAAACACGTGCATGCCTGGTCAATGACCTTGCCCCGGTCAAGTTGGCTCCTGGACTGACCCAATCATGGGACAGGCACAGGCCGGTGCCAAAGCAGCCAGTGTGAGGAAGGTGACTATACTGGTTCGGTGGCACTCGGTTTCACGAGTGAAACGGTTGCAGCTGGCGCATCCTATATCAGCGGATGCCCCTGGTGCAAGCCAGCCAATGCACCAACGCCTGCCTAAGGAGTTGTAAAAAAGGTACATCTGCACCAAGCTCCACAGGACTGATTGACCACAAAAAAGCACACAACACATAAATCAGCACCATTCAAAAAGCGGCAGAGGGGCCGTTGCTTGCGTCAGCGCATTCGGCCAACAAATGCATAAAATGGGGTCGTCACCGTCAAACACAGCTCATGCAGGGTCAACCGCACCACGACAACAAGGCTTCTACGACCACAGACAAACAATCAACTTGGAAAAACCCAAGGTGGTACAGCTGTGAGCTCTGCAGCACGCCAACACGCGCTCCGGCGCAGCCGCGCCCCGCAACTCGGCGCGGGGGGGCCGCGGCCAGCCGGCGCGCCCGCGGTCACCGGCACAGGCTGCACGTGGCACGCGCCTTTGGCGACTGCTGGAGCTTGCAGAGCGGGCAGGGGTCCTCGTTGCTCCAGGTGAACTGCTTGGTCTTGAAGGCGTAAAACTGCTGCAGTATCCTGTACGGCAGCTTCCCGCCTATGAACCCCTCAAACTGGGTGCAGCTGCCGATGAAGTAGGGCTGCCGCCGGTAGTGGTTGGGCCAGGCGGCGTAGGACGCGCGCTCCATCGTGACGTTGCCGTCTGTCGCGTACAGCCGGAAGCCGCGCTTGCAGTTGCCGCGGCCGTATGGCTTGGGCGATAGGTCGACGAGAACAAAGGTGGGCGGGCAGGGCTCGCCCGGGCTGCAGCGCTGCCAGTATGGCGCCGAGGGGACGTCCGTCCACGTCCGCCCACCTGGCTTTGGGACGGGCCTGCATATGGACAGGGTGAGCCGCGGTGGGCGTGTGAGCGGTCGGGAGCGAGGGGAAGCGGGGGAGAAGGTCGTCCGGGTCGGGTGCCTTCGCGGCAGGGCGCGTCGACGCACCTCGCTGTGAACGGCCAACGCCGTCATGTGCCCGCCTGGTGACGCGCCTCGCGCCGTCTGGCCGCCCCCTCGCCCCCGCACCTGAGGTAAAGGTGGTCCCCTGAGAACGCCGCGCAGCCCTGCTGCGCGACGCACGCCGCCGCCATCAGCTCGTGGCGGCTGAGGCACGCGCCGGCGCCGCCCGGCGCGCGCGGCGCGCCGCCCCGCAGGACCTGGCCGCTGCGGCCGCTCCAGTCGGGGTAGTACTGGCAGCACCATTTCAGGCCGTACAAGCTGCTGTAATTCCCGTACAAGGGGCATTTCGTCAACACCATGTTTTCTCTCATCACATAAGCTGGGGCCAGGCGCCAGCCCGCCGGCACCACCTGCTTGAATCGGCCGTCAATGTCATAAGCCGGGCCGTCCGCAGAGCAGCGCTTGGCCGACGCGCGCGTCAAGAGGCAGCATACGACGACGGCCGCGATGAGGCGCGCCGGGGTGCCGCGTCGGCGCGGGCGCCGGCGACGGCCAGGTGGGCGCTCCTGGACGTGCTGCGCTGAGCGCACCATGACGGCGCGCAGCCGGGCGCGGTGACCCACGGCGCTGTAAGAAGCAGAAATATCACTGGTCGAGTGTGTTTATCGATGGGAAGATGATGGGGTTGGGGATGGCGAAAGCACTCACTTGAGTGACGATTCTTCAGACCCGGAAACAATAAGCAAAGCGACTGAACGTGGAGTATCGCAATCAGAGTCAGTCAGAAGGCTACAGGAACGTGACCTTCGGCCCCACCCCTTCACTCCTGCAGGTGATGAGCGGAAGCAGCAGCGGCAGGGCAAAAAAGTGACCGGCCTCCAATGATGACCAGCATCAGCAAGTGACATGAGCGGTGCACGCCCCAGGATGTTACAAGCTTGCTGCACCAGAAAAATAAGATCTGAGTGCAGCGACACCCTGCCTATGATCGCCCACTGCAGGTGGCGTCTGGCGTGCGTGCTTTACCTGCTGCGCTGCCTGCTGCAGAAGCAGCAAAATAGAGGGCCCGCATTTACCGCGGGTGCAGTGCTTATCGGCAACATTAAACACGGACAGCCGCCAGCAGCGGACACATGTGATCTTGACCGACTTGAATGGGCGGATGGCAGAAAAACGCCGCTGTCACTCGCCTGAAGCATGGGACGACCTGTTGTCGGCCCCGCTTGGCTGCGCCTGGCTCGGTGCAACGACGCTGCGGTCATGCACAACACCGCAGTGTGATTGTGTGGAGATTGTCTGCACCCGCTGACACGCCACCTCTCTGAAGCGACGGTTGCCGCCTCCTGCGCCGGCTTCGACACCGGCAGCACGGCGTCGGCTGGCACGCCGCGGCTCAGGCGGCGCCGCCTCGCGGGGACAAATCATGACGTCACAGCACCACCCTGAAGTTTGCTTCGTCCAGGGTGGCCTCGTAGAACTCGTCCAGGGTCTGGGGTTGGGGCGGGTTTTGCCGTGGTGGCACGTGTCAGTCGCGTAGTGCATGTCTGTCTTTGGGTGCGGCCACCCCTACCAGGGATAGGGCGTCTCAAGATCCAAGGACTGCACAGCAACGGTCGCCCTCAGCGCTCATACGCTAGACACGGAAAGTCACGCGAGAAAATTCATTGCCTGCACCACCAAAAGAGCAGCCTACACGTCCGCCAGTCGTGCAGACCAACAACGTGACGCCCCCACCTCATAGTAGATGCGGTCCGCATCGCCCAGCCCGAGGTACGCCAGCTCAGCGATCTGAGCCGCAGCCGCCGCCAGCTCAGCGCCGTCCGCGCCCTCCGCCCCGTGTGTGCCAAACTCCCCCTCCTCGTCCTCCTCGCTGCCCCCCCACGCCGCCCGCAGCGCGGCGCCGTTGCCGCTCGGGCTGCTGCTTGCGCCGCCCCACTCGTCGATTGCGTCTGGCAGGCGGCCCCGCAGCCCTGGGCCCTCGCCGCTGCCGCCAGTGGCTCCATCAGCCCCAGAGGCCTCGCCTTCCCCGCCATCCTCCACAGCTGCGGCATGGCCCGAGCCCCCCGGCAACCGCAGCAGCGGTGGCGGCGCCGCGCGGCGGCGCAGCAGCGCGGCAATCTCTTGCGCGCCGGCGCCGCGAAAGCAGCCGCGCGCAGCGGCGTGGCGCAGCAGCTGGCGCCAGTAGGGCTCGCGCGCCAACACTGTGGGGCTGCCCACCACCACCAGCAAGGCTTTTGCCCTGTAGGTGCAGGGGATGGTTTTTGTACATGAGCAGTGCGTTGGAGGTTTGTCGGCAGTGAGGGTGAGGTCAGCGTGCAAAAGGCAAACGTGTGCCTTTCCAAATGCAGCATGGGTGCGTTCCCGCATCCGGGCCAAATGTGTTGGGTGAACGCCGAACAGGAGACAGCGATGAGCGGGGCCAGCAACAGTGCGTTGATGGCACCGGTACCCTGTTGTTCAAAAAATGTCTGGGAAGCGCCAAACCACAGCAGCAAGGGGAGCGAACGACGCATGGGGAGCCCCGCCGAGGCGGCGGCTCACCTGGTGATGGCGACGTTGAAGCGCTGCAATCACGCACACCGCGCGACGCACAAGAGGGCAGCGGCAGCGGCAGGACGCAGGGGAAACGGAAAGCAGGAAGACGGGTGGGGTTGTTGAGGGCAAGCGCGCCTTCCAAACGCTAGGTTTACATCTGGTGACTAAGGAAGGGCCAGGCAGCGGCTGCGCCCACGAGCGCCCTGTGTGCACCCCGACTCGCGCCCAAACGCGGGAAGGAGCGGCGCGCACCGCAGACGGGATGGCTCTGCCCCCTTTGCCCACCAGCTGCGACGCTGGCCGCACTGTCGGGCAGCGTGCCCTCACGCCCACCCCACCCTCGCCACCCTTATCAAGCTGCCACGCACCTTTGGCGACTGCCAGAAGCCGATCGAGAGCAAATCCTCCTGCCGCGGCGCTCCCGGCCCCTTGCCACCGCCGCCGTCGCCGCGGCCGCCGGGGCTTTCGCCGCCGGCCCCTGCCTTGGGCGCGGCCGGCGCTGGCGGCAGGGACTCTGGCCGCGACAGGGTGGTGGACACAAACACGACCCGGCTCTCCTGCCCCTGGAAGTCGTCGACCTGTGAGAAGCGGTTGTAAGCGGTTGGTGGCGGTTGTGGTGGTTATCGGGGGTGGTGGTAGTGAGGCACGCGGGGGCGGCCGCAGAGCCCCGAGGATTGTGCGCACTCATCAGACATCCAATCGTCATCGCGCGCCGTGAGTCCACGAGGGAGAAGCAGGCAGTGCGTGGCGAGCTGCAGCCCCAATATGGCCCCCCCCGCGGCCGCCCACCGTTCCGACCCGGACGCCTCCGAGATGCCTGCAGACAGTTGGACCGTTGGGGGGCGTTGGATTGGCAAACCCAGAGAAAACGCCAACCGTCCTTCGTCATAGCGAGCGCCAGGCAGTTGGCGGTTGCTGGGCCGCTGGGCGACGCTCGCGAGACCCCAACGCAACCGTCCGATTGCAGTTGTCGGTTCCCACCAGGAATCCCCTCCTGGCGCTGCGCCACCTGGGACACACACCGCGCCGCCGACGTCCCCGCGGGGGGAGCGGGCGCCGCTGGGGCCGTGAGGCCGTCGGCTGGTGCGCCCGCGCACGCGCGTGTGCGCCCCTCGAAAGCCTGGCCCCGCACCTCTTCCTGAGCAGTGAGCGGATTTTGAAGGCCTGCTTGCGGTACGTCGCTATGACCCCCAGGTCCTGCTCCGTCACGGGCAGCACGCCACGCCTGCCAGGTGTGTGCGGGAGGCACGTTGATGAGAGGCCGGCGGCCGTGGGATCAAACGGAAAGGCCGGTGGAGGGGCCTCTCGGGTCGGGGACGGAGGGGGCGCATGTCGCGTGGGTTTACGCTCAAACAGTGCGCCCGGAACAATGCCGGCAAGAGGAGAGCGAACGGGCCTATTTCAAAATCAAGGTTCCCCCAGCGCCCGCGCAGCAGAGCGGCCCGTCCTCGTGGGGCGCAGGGCGGCCGTCCGATTGTGACCTCGTCGGCACCGCGTCGGCTGCTCCAACCTCAATTAAGGCTGCGCCCCTCCGTCTCCTATACTCGCGGCACGCATGCGCCCGGCCGGCCCCGCTCTCGCCTGGGGGGCGCCACCAGCAGGCTTGCCACCAGCTCCACCACCGCCAGGGCTTCGACGGGGTTGTGGTACGAGGGCGCGTCCGCATCCTGGTGCTGCTGACCCCTCACGCCGTAGAAAAGCACGTTGGACCCCGCGCCAGCCAGGCCGTCGCCGTCGCCCGCGCCCGCGTCCCCGCCGCTGCCGGCGCCGCTGTCGGCGTCGGCTGCGTCGGCGGCCGCGGTGACGCTCCACGCCGGGGGCGCCACCTCGGGGGCGGGCGCGCACGCTTGGAGGGCCTGGGAGCACCATGCGGGGATGTTTGCTGTGAGGCCCATAGAAGTGAAATGCGGACGGACACAGCCGTCGTTGCAACCAATCTCGTGTCAAACTTGCAGCAAATCAAGGATGACGCAGGGAGGGACATCGCAACAGCGGCCGGCCTGTGCGGGCAAATGCTCGAGGTGGTCGCCTTTCTGGCCCACCTGCTTGTAGAACAACCGCGAGGGGAGCTCCAAGAGGGATGCGTGGGAGCGGTAGTTGCGGGTCAGCATGCCATAATGCAGGTGCAGCCGCGCCGCCGCGCGCGCTCGCCCGCCCCGCTCCGAGGCGCTCAGGGAAGCGCCCGCCTGGTGCCGCTGCTGCTCGTCGGAGTCCTGTCGCTGCTGCTCGCGCTGCTGCGTTGACAGTGGCTCCTGCTGCTCCCACTGCTGCTGCTGCTGTTGCTGCTCACCTGCCTCGTGGTGGTGCTGCTGCTGCTGCTGCTGCTGCTGCTGCTGCAGCCGCCCCTCGGGCGGCTTGCTATTACAGCCTGCCGCCAATGCCGCCAGCTGCTGCTGCGCGTCCTGCGACTGGGTGCTGTTGTGGTAGTCTATGAGGAGCTCCAGCAGCGACGTAGACAGCCCCGCAAGCGCCGCGCTCGCGCTGCGCACGACGGGGCCCAGCTGCGGCATAGCAGCATACATGCCACGTAAGGGAAGGGCAGGCGGGGTGAGCATCCCAAAGCACCATGCTAACATGCCGAGGGCCAAGATAAAGCCATGAGGGCCCTGGGATCATGGTCACGCAGCTGCTGACATACGCGTGGCGGGCGGCCTGCATACGAGCGAGTTTGCTATTGTATAGCACCCACTGGTGGACCGGCGCCGCGCTGACCTGGCGGGGGTCTCCAGCCAGCATGGAGGCGCCGCCCTTGGGCTGTGGCGAAGGGGGGATGTGGTTGACCACAGTGAGGGGCGGGTGAGGGCGGCAAGCGCTGATCCTTCACGGACCCGGTGGTGTGCAGGTTGCAGGTGGATGGCAGTCGGATGGCAAGCAGATGGCAGGCGGCTGGCCGGTCGAGCGGCGCGGCCGAGGGTGGCAAGGTCGGGCACGAGCTGGCCGGGCCGCAGGCCGCGGCTCGGCCTCTCGCTCGGGTGGCGCACGTTGCAGAGCGTCAAGGGCACGAGGGCCTCCGGCGCGAGCGCCTGGCCCGCCTGCGGCACGGAAGGCAGGGGCGCACGCATGCAGGTTGGACGGGGACCGGGCCAGCCATTCAGGCATACTCGAGATATCACCGCCGCTGACTCAGATCATGCTCCGGGCTTTCGCCAGGCCAGAGCGCGCTACCCTCAAGCAATACACAAATTCGGCCCAACCTTAGAGGCCGGAAGGTGCAGCCCAGGGGTGGGCGCTCGCCGCTTGGCCAATCGAGTGGCGCCCGTTCAACCAGGCGAGGTGCGGGCCACACACCTCGTCAATCCAGACGAAGTCGAACAGGCAGTTTGGGTCACGCCCCTCCGCCTCCGCGATCAGCGCCAGCAGGCCCTGCGCCAGGAGCGCGCGGGCGACGGCGGCGCGGGGGCAGGCGCAGGCGAAGGGCCGGGCAACGAAGTAAAGGCAACAGCGAGAAGAAGGTCTTGGGGCGGCTGCACCAACAGATGGTCCAGGCAGGTTGTGGCTCGCCGCGCATGCAGTGCAAGACAGTGCGAGGGGTTGCTTGCCACACGGAGCGTGCAGAATGCCCCGGCAGCGACAGAGCGCGCACGCCACCCACCGCGGTGGTGCAGGAGCAGACCACGACACGGTGACGCCTCAGCTCTTGGTACGACGCAGGCAGCCGGTACGCGCCTGTCATGGTGACGCACATGCACGAGGCCGATAGGAATTGAGGGCACACGACTGCGTGGGCTGCCCGGCGGTAGCACGCAAAGAAGGGAGCATCGGGGTGAGTTCCATGGTCGGGCGTGCTCGCTTGCGCACGTCCGCCAGCGGTGGCGCGTAGGGGCCGCTGGGCGTGCCGCAAGCCGCCCGGCCAGTGCCCCTGGTTGCCCTCGCCCGCCCTGTCACCGGCGTCCTCATCAAAAAGGCAGAAGCCGCCGTCCCTGACGTCATGCTTTGTCTGAGCTAGCGGGTGCCGAGGGTCATTGACCTGGGGGCAGTGGCCGCGCGCAGAGGGCAGTTACGGGGCTGCACCCCAGTGGTGCAGGGTTGCGCACGTGTTTGGAGTTTGGAGCGCATGGCCACAGCGGCAGTGTAGGCGGTGTTGTGATCCCATCGTGGCAGGCTCACCCTGACCATCTCCCAGGCCTTCAGGCCAGCGGCGGCCAGCGCTGACGCGATCAGGTCCGCGGAGAAGTTGGTCGGGGCGGTTGCCAGCAGGTAGGCGTCCGGACGCGCGGCCCTTCACTTGTTGATTGTGTGCGTGCGCGCGCGCGCGTGTGTGTGTGTGTGTGTGTGTGCGTGTGTGTGTGCGAGTGCGTGAGTGAGAATGTGTGTGAGTGCACAAGTGCGTGCGTGCGAGTGTGTGTGTGTGTGTGTGTGTGTGTGTGCGCGCGCACACGTGCGTGCTTGCATGCGCTTGTGTTTTTTGAGGCGAGAGCCTTGGGACGGTGTCAGGGTGTCACAGAGTGGTGCAAGGGAGCCTGCAGGCCCGCAGCAGGCCGTCACAGAAGGCGCGAGCAGCTGCCCACACGGCGGATGGCTTGGAGGCAACGGCTGCATCGGCTCCCCGACAAGCGCTGTCGCGCCTCTCAAAATCAACGTGCTCCCACCTTACTTGAAGGATTGACTCAACAACCGTTACAGACTTGCCTGGGCAGTCGGAGGGGAAGCCACAGGTGGGTGACACACTCATGTCGAGAAGGTGTCATGGGCAATAACCTGCCAATCCGCTGTCAAAAGCGCAGGACAGCCCACCAGCCGTTAACGTTGACTTGGGAAAACCCCTTTTACCTGTCCCCGGCGGGCCGAACAGAGCGTAGGGCAGCTCCCGCCCTCCCCCAGCCAGCAGCGCCGCCACTGCCAGCCGCTGCTCCGGGTTAAGCGGCGTCGCGCCGCGCAGCTGCAGGGCAGCTGCCAGGCGGGAGACCGCCTCGACGGAGTCCCTGTGGTCAGCCTGGCGTTCACCGCGCGCACGCCCCCCGCCCGCATCTGCCTGCGGCTTCACAGCCGCGCCGCCTGCCCCTCCACCCTCGCCGCCAGCTGCTGTGGCAGCGCCTGAGGCAGCCTCGGCAGGGCTGGGCTTGGGGAGAAGGTGGGGCGGCAGCAGCGGGCGCGGCACCTGCTGCAGCCTGCGGAGCGCCTAGGGGCGCGGCGAGTGCCGCGGATGGTTCGGGTCTTTGCAGTGGCCCCTGGATCTTTCTGGGCAAAATCCCGCACGCCAGCAGCCCCTGCTGGGTTGCTCACACGTGGCTCAGCAAAAGATCATGTCCAATGCTCCCCAAGCCATCGGCCCTGCCAACCAACCTCGTGCATGCGCCCATACGAGGTCCGGTCCAGAGTCAATGCGACATGCGCCAGCGGCGGCGGCGCCGGCGATCCAGACGCACCCTCCTGCAGCGTCCGCAGCCTCCTGAGTTTGCCCGGATCCGTTGATGGCATGAGGGAGCGTGGGCGGGTCGGGCGCAGTCTTCGAGCCGTTCCGACCAAGGAGCCGGGCTTGAAGAGAGCCGTGCGGCAGGACAGTGCCACTGTGGGGACTACTAAATCCCAGTGGGGACTACTGAATCCCGAACTTGCAGAGCGATTGCTGCAGTGCAAACGACCCGCATGCCGTGTGTGTGGGCCGCGCCGTGCCGCACTGCGTTTGGGGCAATGCCAGCCTTGCATCCATTTTTGAGGGATCAATTCAGAAAGCCCGACCTGCAAAAGCAACATGCGCGGTGCGCTCACACGAGTTCGTGCCACCACTGGTGCGGCATCAGCAGGAGGGCCCTGGAGGCGTCTGTCGCGACCACTATGCCTGCAAACTGCGGCCCAGCGGGGCCGGCAGCAGCCAGGTGCATGTACACAATGTCCTGTTGGTGGTTGGGTGGGAGGGTGCATTGCAGGTGCGTGGGTGGGTAGGTGGGTGGGTGGCTTGGTGGCTGGGTGGCTGGGTGGGTTGATGGGGGTGGGTATATGGGTCACGCGGGTGGATGGGTGCTTGGGTGGATAGGTGCGTGGGTTAGTTGTGGGTGGGTGAGTGGTGGTTGGCCCGGGGGTAAATGCTGCTCTGTCGCATCCAGCAATGAATGTGCAGCCGCAGACCGCCTCTCTTTGGTTAACGCGACGCCCCAAAAAGCACAGAGAAATGCTGGCACCTTGCTCAGACACAACCGTGAACAGCCGTGGCCCGCAGGCCGCGAGGCTCACGAGTAGGGCCCAGGTGTTGCAGCTGCACCGTCGACTGGCCCAGGGTGGGCCCTCTTGCAGACCTTGCTCGCATATCCACCCCGCTGCAAATCCATGCTCCCATACACCCACCTGCATGACCAAGCAGGGGCGGTTTTCGGAAAGGCCCGGTATCTCCACCACCGCCAGCATCGGTTGTTTGCGCAGCTGCTCGAGGCCGGGTGGTCGCTGCAAGCATGGAGCGGTGGTGATGTGGGCAGGTTCATGGTCTGATGTCGTGGTGTGCGCAACTGCTGCTTGGACCAGATGAATCTATGCATGTCTGCAAGTGTGTGTGTGTTTCTCAATTTGTGCTCTCCTCTCTCTTGCTGTGTGTGTGTGGGGGTGTGTATGTGTGTGTGTGTGTGTTTGTGTGTGTGTGTGCGTGTGTGTGTGTGTGTGTGTGTGTGTGTGTGCGCGCGCGCGCGCGCCCACACACGCGCAGTGTAAACGCACGCGTGCATATATCTGTGTGCGTGTGTGTGTGTGTGTGTGTGTGTGCGTGTGTGTGTGTGTGTGTCATCAAATCGACATGCTGATGATACACATGGTACACAGCAGAACCTGCACCACCCACTTTTACGGCGTAGGGCGACCGTGCTTTGACGCGCCACAGGGCCTCATTCACCCAGCACAGGTCCGGGCCGCGGTACACGGGAAGCTGTCCAGGCGGGGGCACAAGAGGGGCCCGGGCTGGTAAGCAGGCGGGTGGCTGGGCGCCGAAGTGGAGCTGGTTTGCTGCGCACGTGCGAACCCGTCAGGGGTGGGCGAACACCATTGCAAGACCCGAACCATCACACTCTCTTTCCCTTGTTCTTTGCAGACAGTAGAAACCGCCCCGCCGCCTCACCAGCCCGCGAAACTCGTCGTCCCCGGCAATTCTGGGCCAGGGCACCACCTTATACTTCCGGGGCACCTTGCCCTCCGGCTGACAATCCCAGCCGGCGCCGGGGGACGGCCGGAAGACCGCCTGCGTACACGCACGTGGATGTGTGCACAAATCTCAAGCCTCGCAGGCCTGAATCTTCTGTGCATTGGTTATCATGCGTACACACTCATCAGTGCAATTATACTCGCATGCTTCCAACATCAGAACGCCAACACCACTATCCAAAATGCCATCGCAATGCAGCCGCCTCATGGGGCAAGCTACGCGCAAGTCACAATGGGATAAGCGCAGTGTGCATGGACACGCTCTCTCCCAAGCCACCCACTGTCTCAATCTCCACATTGAATCGGTCAAACTCGCAGACCGCCTGCTCAGCTGCCCTCTCCTCCAGGAGCAGCAGCCGCGCCACCTTGCAGACCCAGTCCTGCGCGCCGACCGGCCCCTGGGTGAGCAGTGGCAGCGAAGCTGCCGCGCGGGCCTCGGCGAGGCGGCGCGCGGCCGCAGCGCACGCGCGGCCGGGAAGGTGCTCGGGCGGGGCGGGGGGCAGCCCGGTGATCGCGGCCCTCTGTTGGGGGAGGGGCCAAAAGTCGGCCGGGCGGGAACGGATATTTGAAAGCTCGGCGCAGGCATGCCAACGCACATGTCGTCGCTTATGTGTGTGGGCGGCGCCGCAATGACGGCCATGCTTCGCGCGGCAGCCCCAAAATGCAGTCCCTCCAGCCTGCCCGCCCAACCCCCACCTTGGCCTCTGGGATTGGCAGCTGCAGCTTGTCGTGCGGCGTCATCACCTGCGCACTGTCGGACATCAGCAGCCACCGCAGGGACGCCGGCACGAACGGCGGCGCCGTCGCGCGCAGCAGCGTGCGCAGCTCCGCCTCGCGCCGCACCAGCAGCGCCGTCGCGCGGCGCCCCAGCACCGCCGCCGCCGCCCCTCCTGACGGCGCCGCCATCGCTGGGTCCGCTGGTGACGTCACGGGTGACACGAGCGTCACCAGCACCAGCTGGCTGATCAGCCCCAGGTCGTCGCGCCCCATGCCGGGCCGGAGCTCCGGCTGCAGCACCACCGTCACCTGATACACCTCCCCCTGACGCAGCTCCACGGCCACCTCATCACTCCCCTGAATCATCTCCGCACCACCAGCGCCGCCGCCGCCCCTGCCGCCGACAACGTTGGGGCTGCTGTCCGGCCCGCGCCCGGATGCGGCGGGCGCGGAGCTGACCTCGCTGCCCTGCGCCGGCGGCGGGAAGGCGCGCAGGCGCTCCTGCAGGGTGGCAGGGGGCACCGCTAGGCCGTAGTCATCCAGGAGGCCCAGCCACCTGGAGTGCGGGACCTGGGGTGGTTGACAGCCGCGAATGACGGCATGCAGGGTGCTCGGTGTGGGCGAGGGGGAGGGCGTGGGGTCAGACAGGGTCGTAAGAGCATCGCCGGCTGCGTGTAAGGTAGTGCTTCGACCCGCCTCTCACCGAGTCTCGAGCCCCCAGCAGCGCCCTCGGGCGCCCCGTGCCCACGCCCCGCCCACGCCCCGCCGCCTGCGGCTGCGGCGCCTCACCGCCGTGACATTGATAATGAGGACCGGCTGCCGCCCCATGTTCGTGATGGTCAGCGTCCGGCACCGCAGCCGCCCGCCGCGCGCACGGCCGCGCCCGCCGCCCGCCCCGCAAACGACCTGCAGCAGCTCCTGCTGCCCCGTCTCATTTGGGCCCTGACCACCGCCTGCATCCCCGCCGCCGTCTGCGTGGCCGCCGTGGCCGCCGCCGCCTGCCAAAACTTGGTCCCCCTCCAGATCGAAATCCGCGTCCGAATCCTCAAAGGCGCTGACCTGTTGGATTCCGAAATCTACGCTGCGGCCGGCCAGCACGGGTCCCGCATTTGCGGCGAGCAGGCCGCGCACGTCCCTCAGCGCCGCTGCGTGCAGCTGCATCAGGCCGCCGGCAGCGATCCACTTGGCCGCGTGCGCGGGCAGCGGGACGGCGCGGCCGTGCGCGAGCGCGGTGACCGACGCGGGCTCGGCGGCGCCGGCTGCAGGGGGTGAGGAGGGGCAGGGCGTCGAGCTGGTGACACAACATCAGGGTATCAGGGTGCCAGGTACGAGCGCTGGCAGCAGGGTTGCTACTGAAGCCGCGGGACTATCGAACAGCAGCGGGGGCAAAGCAATGGAGGCCTGTGTGGGCGCCTCCAGCCAGCGCGCCCCGTGGGCAGCCACCTGCCAAGGCTTTGTCTGGCTGCTTCAGCTTGAGCGCCTGCCACGCGGCCACGATCTGCCGTAAGAAAATGAAGCGTAGTTGGTGCGGTTCGTTGGTGGTGACGGGTGGGGGAGGGGGTTGCGAGGTTCGGCAGCAAGGCCACACAACACGCGGCCGCGCGCTCGGCAGCCTCCACCATGCCCTTCCAAGGTCGAGAAACCTCGACCTCAGACCGCGACGCCCAATGGAATACGCGGAGCAGGGCGCGCGCGGCGCCGCGGCGAGCCGCAGCGGCAGGAGGGGCCGGGTCACTCACCGCTGGCTCCATTGCGCTGGGCGGCACCGCTGGCAGCTGCGCGGCCTTGTGTGGCCCTGCGGCCGCCCCGTTGCTGTTTAGGATGGCATTCCCGCCGGCAGTCAGCTTGTCGCCTGCGATGTCGGCCAAAAGCAGGCACACGTACTTTGCTGGAGGGGGGGTTACTTGCAAATGACGGCAGGGCCGTTCGCCTGCACGCCTGTCGAAGCAGATACAACCTACCATTGAAATGGCCGAGGCTTTGCCCCAAGAGCACAGGCAGATATGACTCGCCCCGGCCGTGCGCCTGCGCAATGCCCTGTTGTGAGCCTTCTTCCCTCCCCGCTGCCAGATCACCTGCCAAGAAGGCGGCCCTGAGCCTTTCAAATAGAGCCGCCGCTGCCGGCCGGCACTCCTCTGCGGAGAGGCACGAGGTTTTTGCCAGAGCTGACGCGTCAATAGGAACCCTGCGTGCGGTGCATGACGCATGTTGCATACATGACGCATGTTGCATGCATGCTGGGGCACACCTGGCGCATGCTGCGCACATGCATGCAGTCATGCGCTGCTCAACGCCACAGGCCCGTCGCAGGGCGGCGGCGCCTCCATGCGCGACATGCGGCACAAGGGCGCGCGGGCGCGCGCGCCTGCGGCCGACGCTGTCGTGCGGCGCCTCCACGCCCTGCGCCTGCAGCGCCAGGCACTCGAGCAGCGCGAGTTCGATGGCCGCGTTCTGCGGCACAGAAAGGCCATTCTCGCGCAGCCGCCTCGCAAGCGGGGCGGCGCTTACGTCCGCGTTCGGCGGAGCGGGCTGCGGCTGCGGTCGCGGCGGCGGCGGCGGCAGCGGCGGCCCTGCGGCGGAGGCCGTGTGGTGCTGACCAGGCTCGTGAGGGCCTGGCGTCTGCGCGGCTGTTGGACGGGCCCCAGCGTTGGCGGCGGCGCGTGAGGGGCCGGCAGGTGGGGCTTGCACTGAGCTTAGGCATGGGTGGCCTTTTCGTCTCCACGCTTCGGTCAATCATGCATGCGGACTGTGACAGCGCAATCATTCTGCTTCTATTCCGATGAACCCCGTCAGATCCCCGTCAGGATGCGCACCTGGCAGCCATGCCGGCGCAGGAGCGTTCCTGCTAGGGGCCCCCGCGAGCGGCAGGCTCGGTAGCAGCGGCGCCAACCCCGGAGGCGGCGGGTATGGTGGGTGGGTGATCACCGGCCAGGGGCCAACAGGGGTCTGCGGCGGTGCCCAGGTGGGCGGCTGCCAACCCGGCCTCTGGGGCCATGCTCCATTCGGTGGCGCTGCCCCTGCTGCTGCACACGGAAACCCAGAGCCTGCCACTTGTGCTGCACTCGGCACATAGTAATAAGCCTGTTGCCAGGGCGGCACAGGCTGCATCACTTAGTATATTTGTCAAGATCATATGGTCCGACGGCTGTTACCGCACAGCGTGTACATCGGCGTGTGCATTTTCAGTCGTGACAGGGACATAGCTGCACGTCCTACGATAACGCATGAGGAGCTGAGACACTGGGCGCTACGGTATGGGTGTGAGGACTAACCACAAGTGCACGACACTGGTTGCACCCGAAAATCATGAACGCCGCAGACCGGTTACCATAGCAGGGGCAGGGGTAGAGACTGACCCCTCTAAGTAGTGGGTCACAAGGCATGTATACGCATCGGCAGCTGCAAGGCCGTCCTGGACTTTGACTGATGTCACGAGAGGTGCAAGCGGTCCGATGACTCTCGCCGACCCCCCTCATAGGGGTGCGATATGCGCTGCTCCAGGTGCAACCCATCCTGCTGCGCTCAGCAGCATTGTTGCAGGCGCACAAGCTGCAATGCGCGGCAGCCCACCCGAGCTGTCCGGCCTAACCCCCACCATATGGTATCTGGACCTCAGCACATCCATAGCGGTCTGAAGGCGCCGCCACATGCGGGCTGGATTGGGCGATTCACTCCCAAGCGGCGCTGAAACCTTAGCGCGTGTGCTCGCTTCACCATGTCTATTGTTTCCCAAACACGGTACACCTGCTACACGAGCGCACATACGGTCGGGTGCGTTACAGCGCAGGGGCGGCTGCCGACGATTGCCGACTTAACTTCCTTGTGTCGGTGAAAAAATGGTGGTTGTGTTGCGCACCAGCGACGCGGCGTCACCATGGGCGGAACTCAAGGGTGCGGTGCGAAACTAAAGCGTTTGCTGCTGCATCACCGTGGATGGTGAAGTGTGGTTGATTTCAGTGCGTTGGCCAGGCCAGCGCGCTCGATCAAAGAGATGCAGATGACTGTAAGTCAAAACCCAACTCGAAGCCGTTGCTGCACGACAGCTCTACACTTGAGTGAAGTCATGATGGGCCCACCAAGCAAACAGCTGAAGGGAGAAAAGTAGCAGCTTCGCAATTGCCAAATCCCCTGGGGCGCGGCCCCATTCATCAATGCGCACAGCCCGCGCAATCTGCGAGCGCCCAGCAGCCTGGGGGGTCGTGCTATGATGGTGGCGACAAGGTGACGCGTCAGCCGCGTGTGGCCCAGAGATTGTACACGCCGTGCCCCAGGGTGACCTCTGACGACTCGACCTTGATATTATTGAAGCCGGCCTGCTGCAGGATGGCCAGCACGGGCTCTTTGAAGCGCTCCTCGTGGACCTGTGCGCGCACGCGCGTGTGTGTATGTGCATGTGTGTGTGTGTGTGTGTGTGTGTGTTTGTGTCCGTGTAGTCCATTCACTTGCATGCGTTCATGTGCGTGTATGTGCAAGGTCCAAAATGTGATTTGATCTGGTGTGTTCTGCGCACACCATGCAGAACTGCAAGAGCGCTCTGTGCATGCATGTGCGCGTGTACGTGTGTGCCAAAAGGGTCTGTGGTGTGTGTGTGTGTGTGTGTGTGTGTGTGTGTGTGTGTGTGTGTGTGTGTGTGCGCGCGCGCGCGTGCGCACAAGCAATATTTCGATGCAATGGTACGTGTGTGTGTTCATCGTCTTGACCAAATATTGCTGGCTCCTAAACAGCTCTCATGCTCAATCTGCACTGAATCAGCTCAGACACAAAATTTTGTCCATGTGCAGCTGCGCAACAAATTGCTGTCATGTGTATTGCAGCCTGTCCCGCTCCAAATTGCGAGAGTCCCGCCGCCTGTGCCGACCAATTTGCGCCCTCCTCGGCCCGCAAACCTGTGTCCGCTAGGAACCCTCTACTGCACCCGGTGGCAATTTCCCACCCGTCAGCAACCTGCCCCTCACCTCCATTGCGACCTGGCGGATCATCGCCCAGTCGGCCTGCTTGATGCCCTGCAGCACGATCAGGTCTGCACACTCGGTGTCGACCTTGAGCAGCCCAATTGACCTGGGGGATGTCGGCAATCGGGTGAAAAAGCAATGCCAGGTCGTCAGCAAACGCGTGCGGGCGTGCATTTGTAGGGAGAAGGCGTTGTTCGCGCACCAACCAGTGTGGGCCTATGCAGTTGACCGCTGCAGCAGCGCCGCACGTGCCCCGCCCAACCCCAGGCACAGCCCCAATCACCGGTCGCTGGGGCCGCTCACCTGATGCCCTTTTCCTTAAAGAGGCTGCTGAGCGTGACCACCTTGACTGGCACCTCCCGCTTGCTGTTCATCACGTGGTTGCGCACATGCGTCCGCACCGCAAACCTCACAATGGGGGCCCCAATGATGGGGATTGACAGTATAGCCTGGCCCAGCATGAACTGCGTCGGGTTGATTTGGGCAAGGAGGTTGCTGCAGCATGGGTCATGATTCAGGAGCGGTTGGTCCCCTGCCAAGCAGGTGTGGGGTCGAGGGATGGCAAGCCGCAGCAAACGGCGAGATGCACTCGCAGCTCTCTAGCTGCGCTGAAGTTGATGCTTGCAACTGCAGCTGTGTGGACGCAGCATGTCCTGTGCGCAATTGTTTGCGTGGATGTTTGAGCAAAGGTGTCGGTTTCAAATCAACCAGAGGGCAATCGCACCAGCAGCTGCTCCACCGCACCGCCTATCGGCTTGGAGTTGCCGGCAGACAGCTGAGAGAACAGGTAAGCCTGTGCACAGGAAAAAAGGGTGAAGAAAGGGCAGAGCACTCTTTAGATAGGTAAAGGCGTGGCAGAGGTCAAACAGCTCAAACACTGGATATGCTGCACGACATGCACCTCACGTATGAGACGGGGAAAGCCAAAGCAAGGTCACAGACGCAGAGGGTGCGGGCACTTCGGCCAAAGCGGCCAGGTTGGTTGTGCCCAATTGTCCAAGAGGGGTAGTTCCAATTCAGGGCGCGCACCGACATGAGCTGCTCCTGCCGGCCGCTGGCCGCCACAGTGTTCATCAGCGTCGCCCTGAGTGTAGGCCGGGTGGCAGGGTGTTCATCCGCAGTTCGGACGCAGCAGGCTGGCTTTTGGGGCGCACTGCAAGAAGCATCTGTCCACCCGTAATCTCCGCGGTCGTGCTGGCTGCGTTCGCATGAGCACCGTTGGCAAACTAGCAGGTGGCCGGCTGCACAAGCCTGCGCCCACCTGTTGTAAACAGTCAGCGTTAGCGTGTCCACGCTACCATCGCCACAGGCCACGTTGACAACATCGATGGGCCCCGCTTCGATCTTGCCGCCGCTGGTGGCCACCGCAGGTCTGGTGTTTTGGGTGCAGCAGGCAAACGTGTCTGGCGCGGGCTCCACGGCGAGAACGCGCCCGGCGGCGCCGACGGCGCGCGCCACGTAGATTGAAAACAGGCCCACGTGCGCGCCGACGTCGACGACGGTGTCACCCTTGCGCAGCTCGATCTGCGGGTTTGCGCGGTAGCGGTTTTTAATCCAGGCCAGTTGGACGAGCGGTGGGCGCGCGCGTCTGCGATGGGGCACGCCTGCGTCCGCTGTCCAGGCTTGCTGTGCCAACAGCTCTTGTCGTCACATGCGTGCAGCATGGAACCGTCTAGACACGCCGGATGCCTGCGCTCGCTGGTCAAGCAAGCGGTTGGGGGCGGGCGCACAGCCTGGGGTTGGACAATGCCAGCACGGCACACACCCCGTTTTGGACGTACTGGCGCTCCTCAAAGTGCTCGTTGTACACCATCATGATCTCTTCATCAGACCCCATGTGCCTGAGGGTGCGATGTAGGGTTGGATCCGTGAGGTTGCATAGAGATCATGGTCGCTGGTGCCAAGCACGGAACGGGTGCAGTCGGCCACTGGCGAGAATTTGGCTGTTGCGGGCCACACTTGGCCCCGTAGGCACTTAGGCGCTCTGGTTTCTGCATGGGCTCCACCCAGGTAAAAATTAATATGGGTGGCTCACTTGATGTTCATGCCGTTGGGCATACACAAAGAGTGAGCCCTGGTTCGCGCCTCCGCCTCCATCGATGCTGCCGCTCCAACGCCGGTGGTGCACACGCCGGCGACGCCACGTGCAGCAGGCGAGACTAAGAATCAGACGTTGTATCTTAGCTTGTATTCCTGAGGCGTGCGCCTGTCTTTCTGGAAACGTTGGTGCCCGGCGCTACAGTGCAGCTCGGGAAGGGTGAGGCGGACAGAGGATATCTGCACGGTTTGGATGCCGTCGCGACACAGTAGATGACCACAAATGACAGAAACAACGAGGTATGTGTGTCTGCTGCCTTGACCAACCGAGGGTGACCGACGAACTTGGTTGGCAGCTTCAAGAGGTCTGTGCGATCGACATGTGCATGTACATACCGGTAAAAATACCTTTGGAAGTACGGTAGGATGCTTGTGTTGACTTGCCACGAGGGCTTGGGTATGCAGCACAATGACTCAACCGAATCCGTCAGGGGTCGAGGCGGGGGCGCAAGCGGGCACATGCAGTGATGCTGCGCAGCAGCGCCGGGCGTGTTGCCAGCAGTGGGCGGCAATAAAATGGTGATTGTGCAACTCGGCGTGCTTGGGATGCTGTCCTGGTGCGCATATACATGTTTCTGGCGCAAATGCGTTTCTCGTCATGGGCATATTGGCGGGTGACAATCTTGCATGCAGTGTGGGAACTTGGGGGCGCCTCGCACTCAGCCGCCGTTTTGCAGCTGATGCACCTCTGTGACACTAACAACATTCGTTTTGAGCGGCCTGCCTGGCAACGGGGTGCCAGGCTGCCTGGCCATTAAGGCCTGCATGCCCAAGCAAGACCGTGTGCTAGGCTCCACGTAGCGCAGCTGCTGCTGCTAGGCCTGGCCCAGATGTCAATGTGTGGGCATGTGCATGATTATCACAGTTAGTCCGTGACAACGCCACGGCTTGCCTCTGGCGCCTTCTTCCTGCTGGCTGCGCCAACGCCAGGCCAATCTGAGCGCTTGCGCATGCCCGGGGTGTCGTCGCAGAGCGTAATGTGCGTGCTTACGAACGCGTCCCCACACTTGGGCTTTGAATTGATCACCGCATGCCTCGTGGGCGCATTCTTCCACCATACAGGGGGCCTGCAGCTGCGGGGCATTGCGCCCCCAGGTCTCCCTCCAAAAATCACCACAGCCCATGCTCCCCGTTGGCGCCTTTCGCACAGGCTGCTGCCTGGCCTCCCGTGACATCCTTGCTAAGGTGCAAATAGCTGGGTAACTCCTCTGCAAGCTTGGCGTGCCCATCAGGCGGCAGGGGCCCTTGGGCTTGACACCCGCAGCCGTCAACCCGCTGGCGCAGCATTGGCAGCCCACCAAAGCGCAGCACGCGGGTCAAGCAAATGAGCACGGCCAGCATGTGCTAATTGTGACTTATCTCTACCAAAAACACCCGAGAAGCTGGGCCGGCTTTGCAATAACTCTCTCTGGGTGGCGTCCAAATCTGACGGTCCCTTCTCATTGTCCGTCTTCGGCCCGCCTGTGTTTCTTGACCGCGGTGCAGGGAACAAAAGATCCTGCGTAATCTTAAAAAACCGCAAAGCGTGCAGCCTTGGTCGTCGCCGCAGTTTGTTGAAGACCCCTCGCCCGACCAGAAAATCGCTGGCGGTCTCACACCGTCGCATTGACAAGGTTTGTGGCACCTGGAGTATAACTTGAGGTTTCACCGGGCTGCTGCCGCAGCTGCAGCCGCTGCGGGGACCACGCTGCAGCAGGGTCTACAGCTGTTGCGGATTGCGGCCACACTACTGCGGCGCCAGCGGCGGGCACCTGCGCAGCCAGTACCACCACGCCTGCCTACTTCGTTGTACAGAACTGTCGTCGCCACACCTCAGTAATTGAGGGCCTGCGCCGCCGATCGCCTTGGTCCACGGCTTTGACCTCCCCTCCTGGCCCCCTGCGGCTCGCCGCACCTCGCCCGCCCCACCCATCCCCGGCC